CTGCGAAAAAAATCAACGACAACGGCCACGGCTAAGAGGGCCCGACAGGTCTCCGCAGACTTCGCAGCTGTGCAATCGGCGGGCAGAACGGCGTCGTCTTGTTCGACCTCTCCTTCGAACTCTTCTTCGACCACGTCGAGATCAAAGCGCCGTCGTGACGTCAGACCTGACAGGGAAAATGCCGTTGCTAGAGTCGCGAACAGGGTTCCTCTGACGATAGAAGAAATAGAGACACTTCCCGACGCCGTGGCTATTCCTTACCTCTCGGATATGGATCAGCCGACGTCAGGCAGGGTTGCTGCCAAACGCGAGAGGTTGAAGAGCTACTTCCGAAACCACAACCTCACATCGTACACACCTGTGGGCGGGGCAAACAAGAAGGCCGCGGGTGCGGCAGTTACAGGACCCCCTAGTGGGCACCGGGCGATCTAGAACGGCTGGGGTGTAGAATTCTGTTTCTGGTGGCAAGGGCGGGCTTTCTCATTCTGCACGAATGTTGTGTGTTTCACTGCTGCTCCTTCACGTAATATTATTGCGGTTGCCAAACCGGCGTGTTGTGGGGGAGGTAAAGTGTGCAACCTCGAAATCAGATGCGCCCATACTGCATTTGTGTGCTAACCACAGTGTATCAGGTACATGTGTGCTACATAGGCACACCTACATGTTCGCCGATCAGTCCTCTTCTGGTCATTATATGCCGTGGTTCCCCGCCATGCGGCGATGACGCATGTTCAAGAGACACACATCATGCACTCCGGGTTGTTTTTGCCGGCGCCAAGTACGATCGGCACGCCTCACCTACAGCTGGTTAGATATATTTCCCCTGGCAGCATCACGTAAAGCTCTGTGTGTGTGAATAAGCGCGCACACGCCCGTCAACGAGTGCTGTAACTTCGAGAAACCGACGGTCGTGCCCAGTCTACCCGAGGGAAAATACCCACATCAACGGCATGACACCATCTACTGAGCACAAGCGCTCCTGTATTGTTCAATTGTCACCCACGCAGCAGCGGTACACAGCCATCGACGGCAGCACACAGCCATCGGCACACAGGCACACACCACACAAGCGCACAAGCGGCAGCCGTTGCGTTTTTTTATGCTTATATATATCATATCTGCGATAATTGCAGAGAGATTTCAACCAACTCTTTCGGCGATTTTATGCGGCGAGATCAAAGTGTTTTTTTTTTTTGGCCCCAAATTTCGGGGCATGGGGGTGGCCCCGAAACTACTTGAAAAAAGACTTTGGGGCGGATGCGCAGTCGCCGCAGCGAAAGTTTTGTGTGCTGTACGTTTCAACCCTTCCCTTCCACCTCGTGTTTTACCTGGTGCGCGGCGCCGCACACGTCCCGCTGCTTCCTTGATCCCCCCCCTACCCGGGGTGTAAGTGGCACTACCCGTGGAGGCGGTGGTGTTGCCGGCCCCCGCGCCAGGCGCCTGCGGGCGAACGGGGGTGGGTGAGGGACGCGATGATGATGTCGGGCGACGAGTACGAGGAACTGTATCTCGCTTCCGTGAGGGTGCCCTTGGTTTTGGCCGTGTTTTTGGGGCTCTGGGGGCTCGTGATCCTGGTGCTGCAGGCGCTGCAGATCGACTTCAGCTCCGTGCTCCGAAAGGCTTCCGGTGCGGTGTGGAGAAGCGCTCCCTCACGTTGGATTAGTTTCGGGCAGTGTAGTTTTGTTTTAGAATAGGAACTGGAATAGAAATTGCAACTGCTGTTTTGAGCCATCCTCGCACACACCGTTCACGACGCGGCACCTAGAGCATGTACCAACCATGGTACACACAGCAGTGCATCTAAACATCTCAATACTTGTACTGTGGCTGAGAATCGCCTTTGAATCGTTGTGGTGGTAACAACATTGTGAGACTACGGCAAGACGAAGCAGGGACATGAGCAAAAACACAGACAAGCGCTACGTATGCCCCGTGTGTCTTACATATGGGAGGTGTGACCACAGCAGGAGGACGAGTGCTACCCTCTCCTCGCATTCAAAATCGAAGGCAAAAGGCAAAAACACCGCGGGAGGGGCGGGTAGGGGGCATCAGGGAGGGAGAGGTACCCTTCTGTGTGACCACGGCGGGACGGCGCAAATGCTGTGAGCGCTGATTTTTGAAGTCAGACCAAAAAAAAAAAATTGAGCGGCAGACCGACATGACACCCCAGTATAAAGGGTGTGTTGAGTGTTCTTTGCGGTGTGGATGGGAAAAGGAATCTAGACTACGGGATTGTGTGCGTGTGTTTTTTGTCCGTGTTAAGCCTCCTCTGTTGCAGATGTATTCTTCTCCTTGAAAGTAGGTTTTTTTTTTCTGTTCCCGGTGATGCTGCTACCTACAACCGTGAGCATTCCCTCGATGGTTTCGCGCGGTGTTCCATGAAGCTGCTCCGAAATCATCTCAAAAAGATAGGGCACCACTTGGCTGCATAAAGTGAAACACGCAGACGAGGCCTTATTGTACGATGTTGCGCACGGATACACACACCGTCTTTTCAGTAATGAGCACGAGGCCCTCGTAATCTCGCCCCGGTTATGAACGGATTCCACAGCAATCCACAGATAGAGATAGCGGTAGCGCCAATTTCACGAGCTTCAGTAATTACGGTCGACTTCTTGAGTGGTGCCGTTGAACATGTCTCTCTGCGTTTGATTTCCACGTCCCACAAGGCATACACGATCAAGCACACATTCACAGCAGCAGACTATGCAAACATGTGTGGGTTTCCTCTGTTGCTACTGTGTCTGTCTGTAGTCCAGCGTATAGCATAGCCTCCCCCATGACGTTCCCTCACGGGGTCCCAGATTATGACCTCCTTTAGGAGCATTGCTGTGTTTTCAAACGCGCTGAGACTGACATCGTTCTTAGTTTGCGTGGTCGATGGGAACAATTAAAGCACACCGTTCCTTAATCCCCGCTCCCACCCGTTCGTCTGCATTCTACTGTCTGCAGGACCTCGCCTTGCGACGGAAGACCAAGGAGATACCTCCGGAAAGGGAAAGCCGACCCGGGTGCCCACCCCCCCCAGCTGGCGGCAGGTCGTGTCCACGGCCGCGGGGTTTCTTGGAGTGCTGCTGGCGTGTATACACGGGTCGCGCATGCTTCGGGTCCCCCCGACCGTGGCCGTCGGGGGGTTCTACTTCATCCTCGGCGGGGCGTTGCTGGTGCCGCTTCAGGCTCCGTCCGTGAGGTAAGCGTTGGGGGCGCCTTGGTTTGGCCGCCGCCGCCGCCGCCGCTGCTGCTGCTGCCGCTGCTGCTGCTGCCGCTGCTGCCGCTGTTGCGACTTTAGCCGCCTCGTTTGAGTGCTTGGATCGGTGTGTGCCTTCGTTCGGGCGGAGTGCACTGCAAAGAGAGGGAAGACAAGACAGACAGACAGAGAGAGAGCTGACTACTGCGCTCTTTCGATTGCGCGCGAAACCAACCAATTCCCACGCTTCGCGGGCGAGCGCGCTTGTGATGCCCGTACTGAAATCCGTCACGTGTAGATGAGTTTATGCTCTCCACGTGCAGAAGAACATTAGTACGCCCCCCCTCCATCCTGGTCGGACCGGGACGCAGGCAAGACACGGCGTTGTTCTTCACGTCACGCATACATCTCTGAAAATTTCACGTCAACCTATCACACTCATATCTGAATAGGTCACGTTAACCTACCACACTCGATCCTTCGACTCAGCCTATTCCGTCCCCCGCCCCCCCTGGCCGGACCGGGTCGCAGGCAACACACGGCGCTATTCTTCACGTCGCTGGCGGGCGTCTTCTTCCCGGCCACGGACGTACACTTCGCCGAGGTGTTGGTTGCTGACGCGCTGACGAGCCTCTCGAGGGTGTTCGCCGACGTCGCGGTGACTTTCCTGCTCGTGGCCAAGGGCTGGGGGATGAGGTACCCCGGATGGGCGTTCTTGTACACCCCCTGCGTGTTCGCCAGCTTTCCTTACTGGTGAGAAGGACGTGGTTTTGCGTGTACCTGCTGTACATACCTGGGTAGATTGTTTTGGGTGGGAGTATTTTTTTCCGCGGTGTTTTGGCGGGTCAGACTTGCCGGGTTTTGTTTTTTCTTGTTATTTTCTTGTTGGGGGGGGGAGAGGGCGAAGAAGAACTGAGATGTGTAACCCTCCTGTTCGCGCACCTCTTGATCGTTTCGAATCTTTCATGTGGCAACCACCAGTAGCAAATCTGCTGAAGCTGGATGTGCCGTAAGCCGGCCCCGGCCGTCCGCCCGACCGACCCCCAGCCACGCACCCTCCCTCCGCTGAACCCCGGCGCATATGCCGAGCGTACACGCCCTTGCCCCTTGCTTGTGTCGAGTGGGGATCGCGGAAGAGCTATCTCTTGCCGCCGAGACCTGTCTGTCCGTTATGGAGAGGTGGAGGTGGAGGCGGTGCATCTTGAAGTAAGGGGCCCCGCAGTAAGAATTCCGAGCGTGACAAGATATTATACTGCTGTAGCTGTGTTTGTGCATGTCAAACGGGTATTGTAGTGTTTCTGTATGTTTTTACACTTACACTTAATACAGTATTTTCTGAACATTGCTCCAGTTAGAAGCAATGACGACCACATTGGCAGACCGACCGACAAGAACAATAACGGCCGTGTCCCCTTGCCGCGCTTCTCTCTCTCGCTCTCACTCGGCCTGTCGGGGCGCGCGCGCTGAACGCTAACGCCCCAACAAAAAAAAAGGGTCCGTGTGCGGCAGTGCGTGATGCAACTCACGTACGAGGTGGACCCGAAACGGAAGTTGCTGTTAGCGATAAACGTCGGCAAGTACCTCAGCGCCTTCCCGGTGATCTGGCTCACCGGGTACCAGGCGATGCGGCACTACGACGGGGCTGCGTATGTGAGTTGATTGTCATGTCGTCTTGTGTGCTGATTTTGTTCTTTTCTTTGGCTTCCCTTTCTTTCCCGTGTTGAAGTTGTTTGCTGGCTGGCATACTTGGCCTCTCAAAACCCAGATATGAATTAATTCAGATACAAAGCATCCCATTTATACAAGCGTATATTTACTACCCCCACTTTTCCCTTCCCAAAATTCCGACCCCAGCAGCCTGTTTTCACTTGTTATCTCTCATCGGCGTCGTGGCCGTCTTTGGTTTTTGATAGTGGTGGTGGTGGTGTAATGTTTTTGTCGTGTCGAGGGTGAAGACGGTAGCCCCGTTGATTGCCCGTCGTTGTCGGGAGACCGGAGGCCACCATTGGTTCCCGCGACGCCCGCCTGGTCCAACGCTACACTTGGGGCTCAACCTGCTCACCGTATCTCGCGTTGTGTTTGTATTTTTCGTCTCTTGTTGTCACGGCAGGTGTTTAGTTTCTCGCGTCTAGAGGGTATGTTATCCCCATCCCATCCAACGAACAACCTTTGTCGTTCGCTTCGTCGGAATTCGGAATTTGTATGACGTTTGCCACATGCACACACCCCCGACGAATGTTTTTTGTGTCAACAATAGCAACGACACCTAACTCATTCAGCGGCTGCCGAGCGTACTGCCGAGAGCGATGTTTTGTTTTGTTTTTACACAAGGAACTCATAGTGTTAGCAGAGACCACCCGTGTTTTTCTCATCGCCCCCCCGACATCCATCCAACCTACAGACAACGGATCCAGAATATGTTACCTAATGAATCCATAGCGTTAGCAGAGCCTGAATATATTTTTGTCTTTACCCCCCGAACCATCCCCTCCTCGACAGCTTCCCGGCGTTGGAAAAGCCATTATTGCGGCCGCCCTGCTGAACTCGGTCTACTCCTTCGCCTGGGACGTGAAGATGGACTGGGGGCTCGGCCAACGGGGGAGCCGCAGGTGGGGGCTCCGCAACACGCTCCTCATCTGCCACGAGGCCCCCTGGCCGTACTACGTGGCGGTGGCGGTGGACCTGGTGCTTCGGCTGACGTGGGTGGCTCGCCTGGCGGAGGAACGGTTCAGGAGCGTGGACATGGTGCTAACGCTGGAGCTAGTAGAGGTTAGTTACGTACTGGGATGGGGATTCGGCACCGGTGTGTGTCGTTGTGGCTGGCTGTTGTCTTCACATGAAATACCATTCGATGTGTATGCGTAATACCTGTATTTGTGGAGGAGCGGTGTGCTGGGTGGTGCTGCCTGAGGTTGGTTGGGGCGTGTTCACCGAACAAGATCGTGCTTCGTTCCATGCCTCACGATTGGATGGGCCGTTGGTTCGTTCTTCTTGGTCGTCTTAAGGTTCTCAGAGGCATTTCGGGAAGTGATGAATCGACGGGCAACGACGCCATGCCACACTGGTTGAAGCAGTACAACCTGCAGAGCCGTTGCTTGAGAGGTACAAAAAAGTACCCATCAAGCGGACCCGCGGCGAAAAATTGCCAGTACTGACGAGATGCTTGCACGCTCCAGTAGCTCGGTAAAGCGACCTAGGCCTACCCACTGCCCAACAACCTATTAGGGGTGTTGGCTTTGGGTTTGGGTTTGGGTTAGGGCTAGGGGTGGATTAGCCCTAGTGAGGCCTTGTGAGGCCTAGCGCCTTCGTGCTGCCTGAGGGCTGGAAACCCGCTGTGGCTTTGGTTTCGCGTCTACCTCCAACCACAACCCAAAAATTGTTGAACTGGCGAGTGCAAGAATCTCGCCAGCGCTGGCGTATATACGCCTTTCGTCAAGCGGACCCCCTGTCTAGTTCCTGCCTTCAGACTCCCCCCCCCCC